CACATCTGACAGAGGTTTAACATCCAGAATACATAAAGAACTCAAGAAGTGAGAAACCAATTGAACCAATTAAAAGATGAGCTAAAGATCTAAACAGAGAGTTAGCAAAGGAAAAAATAAAGATGGCTAAGAAACATATCAAAAAGTGTTCAACATCATTAGTAATTAGGGAAACGCAAATTTAAACCACCCTAAGGTATCATCTTACTCCAATCAGACTGGCTGATGTCAGGAGCACAAATGATACCATACTCTGGTGAGGATGTGGAGAAAGGGGAACCCTCATTCACTGCTTGTGAGACTGCAAACCTGTCTAACCTCTGTGGAAAACAGTGTGGAGAACTCTTGAAAAACTAAAAATGAACCTACCATATGACCCAGTTATACCACTCCTTGGCATATATCCAAAGGGCTCATCCTATTTTAGAGACACTTGTACAATCATGTTGGTTGCTGCTCTTTTCACAATAGCTAAGAGATGGAAGCAACCTAAGTCCCCCTCAACTGATGAGTGATTAACAAAAATGTGGTATATTTACACAACGGAGTTCTATTCAGCAGTAAAGAAAGATGAAATAATGAAATTTGCAGGTAAATGGATGGATCTAGAAACTGTTATACTAAGTGAAGTAACACAGACTAGGAAAAACAAATGACTATGTTCTCTCTCATATGTGGCTCCTAGCACCAAATCCTTTTAAATTTCAGGTACTTTTAATAAGAATATGCTATACAGCAGTCCCTTCTGCATGAAATAACTACCATCACCACAACTTCAGCTGAGCCTGATCACTAAACATCATCACAAATGGAATTGTTGACGGTTGTGCTAATTCATTAAAGGAGGGCCAAGCAGGGTCACTGGACCCTTACTGGAGTACTAAGCTACTCTTCCCAGCCAGCTGTATGTAATTTGACCCTAATAACACATGGCCTCCTGGATGTGGGGAGGACTAAAGTATACAATCTGCAGAAGGCTAGGAAGAGAAGGAATGACTCATGCTGGGTAAAGGCTATACAGTGTCCATACTCTCAGGTCATACATACACCTCAGCAACCCCTCAGTTATCTTGGTAAGTAAGCTCAATAAATTCATTGGCTCCCCAATAAAACTTTAATGAAACCTTGCCTTAACACTAAGCCTTAAAAGGGAATAAGCTTTGCTTCGCATCCCCAGGAAAAGAAGTTTCACAACTGAAGGAAAATTTATTTGTTAATGTTTTTATTTCCCATAATTATTTTTTAAAAAAAATGAGATTGTAAAAGATGTTAAAAGGAATGGAGATATTTTCCAAAATAGAAAAAATGAGAAAGCCTAAACAAGTGATGAAGGTCTGTTTAGGTTTGTTATATATAAAGGATGAGACAAAATACTATGCACATAATCTTAAATTTTCTTTGGTCATAGTTTAGTCAACTAGTTTAAGGAACAAAATATAAATCTAGTCAATGTTTATCTGAGAATATTTGGTTCTTTACCCAAGCCTTATCTATATAGTACATGATAGTTAAAAGTATCAGACTAGTAGAACTAACAGTATTGGATGCTTAACAGCCATACATTAAGGCCTATACTAATGTAGTCAGAGGGACTCAAAGGACAGTTTTTGCCCCTTGCCCTCCAAGGTTGACCAAGTTCCAGGGGACTATGGAACATCTCTCAAAATGGTAAAGGTGGTGAATTACCTGTCCTGTTGTTCAGGGAGGACATGGAGACCCCACAAGTTGGACTTGAACCAGTGTCCAGTCTACAAAGAGGAGGGTCAACACAGAGGGTCAACATCTCATTCATGCTTCCAAGTGAAGCCAGACATGGTCGAGCAGGACCTTTGACTTTTCTGCACATAAATGGAACTGGTAAAAGAAAGGAGCCAGGAGCTCCCCACCCCCAAGCCCATGTGACCACTGAGGAACAGATCCTCAAATGGCCTTAAGTGTAAAAATAAATTGATTTATTTGGGCCAACTCTATGGCCTTAAACACCCAAAAGGAAAGTATAACCAAAGAGTAAAGTCATCAATATGCTTTTTTAACAGTTCAAGGGAAAACACTTCCCAGACATTAGGCTTAAGTCTATATAAAAAGTTATTTAGACAATTATTTCTCGATGATAATTTTGTTCCTAACCAGAAAGTGTGGCTCAGATGTAAGACTTCAAATCTTGGTCTCCAATACTGTAGTGCCCACCTGTAGCTAAGGGAGGCAATAGCTATTGTTCTAAAATGATGGATAAATTTATTTTCTCTGCCTATTTAGAAGCCTTTGAGTGGGAGCTGACACTGATTCTAACCACTCCAATAGCTATCAACACACCTGAAAGCAAATCCTGAACCCATCACTCTAGAGTCCAGCCTTGTAAGACAAAAGAAAAATGAGGAGGAACCCAATATAGGGATGCTTTTGGAAGCCCTTGTCATAAAATTCCAACAGACTCATGAACGTTTGAAAATTTCCGTGTTCTGACTTTTTTCTAGTTCCATGTCTAGAACTTGTAACGCTAATTACTCACACCTTTACTTCTTCACATCTCCTATTCACGATTCAAGGACTTTCTTTTCCCATTAGAAATAAGAGGTATGCAATTTGGGAGCCTTTTAGATAGACCTACTGAAGGGGTACTCCAATGGTGTCACTCTGCATCCCTGTTCAGCATGGAAAAAGCCAGAGTGGTCTGTGTCCCTATTCCCTATTGGCAATTTGGGTAACCCCTTCAGAGGGTGACATGGTAAGAATAGGAGGTAGGAATTGGCTAGGCAGTTAGGGTAAAAAAAAATCCCAAAGAAAAGCAACCAGTTTCTTGGCTAAAAGTCAAAATGTTCTTGGGACTCTTAGCAACATACCCTGTTCCAAAGGCCCAAAATGTCAAAAGGACAACTTTCAACATGTCCCAGAGGTTTTGTTGTGTTGTATTGTCCTTTTCATTCAGTTCCAGGAATACTTATTTCTTTCTTAATTTCTTCTTTGACACATTTATCATTCAGGAGTGTGTTGTTTAATCTACATGTGTTCATGTAGTTACTAGGATTTCTTCTGGTGTTGATTTTAAGCTTTGTTGCATTGTGGTCTGGTCGAATGCATGGAATTATTTTAATTTTTTTATAAGCCTTTACAACGTAAGAAGAGAAGAAATAGTTGTAATATTAAGTAAAGTTAGGAACATTAATGATTACCAAGATATTATTCCACAAGAGGGTAGCTGAAATTATCATTATAAATCAAACTTATTTTATATTTATTACTTTTTCCAATTGATGGGGGATAATATGGAGTCTGTGGTTTCCAACTAGAACTAGTGGGAGACTATCCAACTAAACAAATTTTAAAGAAACTTGGGAAAACATACCAGAATCCTTCTTCATTGAATTCTATGACTCAGATATCTTTGAATTATAAATTACAGTTAAGAAAAGGTAACATGTCTACTCC